GGCGTCCCACCCTCACCACGGAGGGTCCCCTGCTTCCCTCGGCGTCCCACCCTCACCACGGAGGGTCCCCTGCTTCCCTCAGCGTCAGCGACTAGAAGGATCATCAGAGCAGGCGCGGTGGCTTCACATGCCAACCCGGCTGCTCGGGAGGCCGAGGCAGGGATCACCAGTCCAGGCCAGCCCTGGCGACTTAGAAGATTGTCCCAGCAGGCTCCGGGGACGGGGCTCATGCATTCTCCGGGTCCCAGGAGAGGCGAGGACGGAGGATAGGCAGAGGCCTCCCGGACAGAAACCAGAGGCTGCGCGCTGGGTGCAGGGCGCAGAACTGTCACCCGGTGACTCTGGAGGCTGAGGCAGGAGGAGGGCAAGTTCCAGGCCAGCCTCAGCCACGTAGCAAGAGCCCATCTCAGAAACTGGAAAGGGCTGAGGGCGGCTCAGTGGCTCGGCTCCCCCGTTCCATCTTCAGGACGAGACGCACAGCAATTGTTTAACACAAAGGAGGAAAGGAGCCTGGGAGTCACAGCACCACCAGGCTGAGATCCAGGACAGACCCTGGGGACTGGGCGGGACACCTGCAGCCCAGCCCTGCAGCCCTGCTGGGGGAGCACAGTGAAGCAGACAGAGAAACAGGGAGCGTGGCCTTGGGGCACGTCCCCGCAGTGACCAGAAGGGCCAGCCCCGTCAGGGTCACCGAGGCCCCGGGGCTTCAGGCTGCAACAGAAAGATACAGAAAGGACCCACAGGCCCCACCGGGTCATGCCCGCACCACGAGGTCCCTCCCTGGGTGGCTGAGTGTCGCCTGATCCAGAGGCCCGTCTCCCCTGGTCCCTCTGTTCACAGCCCAGTCCGGCCTGGGGATGCTCAGCGCTGTATCTGTGAGGCTGAGTTTTCATCTTTTTTTAAAACATGGTAAAAAGCCGGATGAGGGGCTCGGGAGGCTGAGGCAGGAGGATCTCAGTTCAAAGCCAGCCTCAGCCACCGTGAGGTGCTAAGCAGCTCAGTGAGACTCTGTCTCTGAATACAATTCAAAACAGGGCTGAGCTCAGTGGTCACCCCGCATAGACCTCGCCCTGGGATCTCCTCTCTGTGGCGGTGCAGGGTGGGACCAGGCCGACACAGGCTGGGCGTGCTCCTCTGCTGAGTGCACCCAGCCCTTTGGTGACATTGGATTCATTCACAGTGTCATGCAGCTGTCACTTGTCCAGTTCCAGAACTCTGACCCCCAAAGCAGCCTCCGTCCCTCCCAGCCCACGTCCCGTCTCTGGACCCTCCTGTCACTGGGGCACACCTGTGGCCTGTGTGTCTGGCTCTCACCGAGCGCCAGGTCCTCGGGTCCCTCGCCGCAGCTGCCGCCTGGCCCCTGCGGGTGAGGGTGGCCAGGCCTGTGCCGGCCCTGACCGGCCCTCTCTGCTGCCCACCCAGGTCTCCAAAGCGTCCTCGGAGCTCATGAGCTACTGTGAGCAGCACGCCAGGTCCGACCCCCTGCTGGTGGGCGTGCCGGCCTCCGAGAACCCCTTCAAGGACAAGAAGCCCTGCACCATCCTGTAGCACCCGCACCAGCCACCGCGCTCAGCCCAGACCCCAGCCCGAGAAGCGCTGGGCTGGCGGCCCCTCCGGGCCACGCTGGACGCACAGCCCTGCCTGTCGCCAACACACGCGGGCCCGAGTCCGCGGCCAGCGGTGGTCCAGGACGCTCAGTGTCACGGGCTCAGCGGGGAGGCCGAGAGGGCAGCAGTTCCCTCCAAGTGGGGCGTCTGCAGGGTCCACGCTGGGCTGCCGGGATGCGCCTCGTGTGACGAGCGGAGGTCAAGCTGGGGTGGGACGAGGCCGACATCATGAGATTTGGGGGCGATATTCCTCCCTTCCATTTGCAACAGTGTCACTCCCCACGCTGAAACCCGCTGCTCATGGCTGACCCAAGCTGAGCTGTGGGAGGATGCACAGGTGGACTTCCGGGGTGGGGAGGGGCTCGTCTGTGAAAGGCACCCTGTGATGCCCAATGTCACTCCCTGTGTGGCATTTGCTACTCGGCCCCACCCTGTCCCTGGGGGCCCACCCGGCACAGACAGGCTTTGGGGATCTGAGGTGGGGGGTGGTCTGGGGTGCTGTGCTGCTCGGTGGCGCTCCCTGGACCGCCCTCACTTCCCCAGTCAACGTGGCCGTTTTTCAGACAGAAGTGCAGGCTGGGGGTCTGGGCCTGGTGGGCGCAGCCCCTCGCACGGAGCCCGGGAAGCACCGTCCAGTGACCTCAGGCCAGGCCTGTGGCCCCGGGGCGGGCAGCGGCAGCTCAGCTCTCCACGTTGGGTGGGCAGGAGGGAGACCCAGGTAGGGCCCATGCGCCTGCCTCCCTGCAGCCTGGGGAGCGTGGGGTGTCAGGGGGGGGCACCCTCCTGCCACCCTGCAGCCACTCCGGAGCTGTGTGATAAGCAGCAGGGACCTTGGTGGCCCTGGGCCCAGGAGCCTCCAGTGGCCGCCTCCCGCCACAGCACCAGCCCAGGAGCCGGGCCAAGAAAACCCACCAGGCTGCCCCTGTGACCCGACAGACATCGGGGCGCATGCCAGGACGGTCCCCGCCTGGCCGCCCCTGCAGGCCAGTGGGGCAGGGCCCGCAGCCCCCCCAGGCAGCCGCCTCCTGGGGTGGGGGCTGAGGGAGAGGTCACTGGGTGGGACACAGGTCAGGAGACGTGGCGGGGGGCCTGGGCGGCCCTCCAGGTACCTCCCCGCGGCTCCCAGAGGGCACAGGCGCAGGGCGGGCCTGTCCAGCTCCCGGCTCTCTATGGCTGGTCCAGGAGGCCGGGGCTTGGGGTCTGCCGCACGCTCCTGTGGTGGGCCAGAAGAGGACAGCCGGCCTCTGCCCCACCCGACGGGTGGCGGGAAAGGCCAGGGCCAGTGCCAGAGTGCCAGGGCCGCAGTGGGCGGCAGAGGCCCCAGGGCCACCTCTCGAGGGCGGCAGGGCAGGGCTGTGTCCTGGGGGAGACCGGCCCCCGCTTGACCGCCTGGGTCACCGGGAACAATTCACCCATTTCTCTCAAAAAGAAGCCTTAACCCTGGAGCTGGTGTCTGTCCCTGCATGGCCGGCCTCTTCCTTTGTCCCCACTGTCCAGGTCCCCAGCCACCAGTCTCCCAGGAGGACAGTCGACCCCGGCCCCAGCACCGGCAGCCCCCCATGGCCAAACCCATTCCCCGCACTCGCCTCGCCAGGGCAGAGGACGGGCACTGGGAATCCGAGCCTAGGCCCACGCGACGTCCCCACAGCCGTGACCCCAGGGAAAGTCAGGGCAGCGGGACGCCCCGGGCGGAGGGTCAGGGTTGACCGGGCCTCCGCGCTCGGCCACACCGAGGCTTCTCGGGCCAGCGGGTCCCAGCGCCCAGCCCTGCAGGGCCTCACAGGGTCGGGACGTGCTCTGGCCTGGAGGGAAGGACGGGCTGCCTGACTCAGGCTCCTCATCTGCCCGCCTCCTCCTCCAGGTGCCCCTGCCCTGTCCCCGAGCCGGGTCACCAGGTGCCCACAGGTGGGCCTCAGGGAGGTGGTGACTGGCAGGACCCCAGCCTCCTTCTGAGCCGGGGCCTCTCCTGACCCTGCAGGTGACTCCCAGAGCTTCCAGGACAGCCTCCCTCGCAGCCGGGCTGCGCTGGCGCCCCGTGGGACACGTCCCGGGCACCGCTCTGGGCACCTCAGGTCCCTCGCTGCGTCAGGGGAGGAGCTCTCAGGAGGCTCCGCGGCCCACCCACCCAGAGGGCAGGCCCCCGGGAGCAGCGGGCACTGTCTCCCGGCCTGCTCCAGGGTGCCCGGCCGCGAGGGCGCCCGCCGGAGGGGTCGCCGGCCTCAGGATCCGCGTCCAGTCCCCACCCGGGGAGTCTGAGCGGTCCTGGCCATCTCAGTCCCCAAAGGTGACCCCAGAACAAAGTGGCCTCCAGGGATGGCAGATGGCAGAAGGTGCTTGCCTGTCTACTGCCCTGTCCCTTTGATGGTCCAGCAGCGGCCTCCTCCAGGCAGACGCTGGGCCCCCAGGCAGCTCATCCCAGCTCCTCCGGCTGGTCTTAACTGACCCAGTCCTGCCACCCCGGCTGGGGGACGGGACAGGACAGGACCTCAGACCCGGCTGGAGCCGGGGACAGGACAGTTACAGGCCAGCCAAAGCTCTGCCCCCGGCTTGCCATGCCGCCCAGGCCCAGTCCCGAAGCCAGGGGACTCGGGTGGTCCCGGCCCCTCCCGTCTGGACTCTGTTGCCAAATGCCCCAAAGACCCTCGTCCCCAGCAGCTCCAGCCGCCCAGCCCCTGGACGTGGGTGGTCTCTTTCTGTTTTCTAAGACCCCAGCTGTGCCACGCCCACTCTCCGCCAGTTTTGACTCCATGTGGAACCCTGGTCCAGAGTGACTCTCACTCAATAAAGGCCCCAGTGCTTCTCCCTGGCTCGGCTCCTCCCTGCTCCCTCCCTGGCCAAGCCCGTGAGGGCCCACACCACCCCCTCCCGTCACCGCTGGGTGCACACAGGTGGCCTTGGGCCCCAGGGGCTTTCGGTCTGCGGCAGGGGCTATTTAAGGACCTGCACACCTGCACACGGGGGCTCCGGTTTGGGTGGGGGGCAGGGGATGGGAAGGTCCTCGTCCTGCCCTTGGCTTCCTGACCCGTGGACCCCACTCTCAACGCCAAAGTCCGACTCCTGGGCAAGAGGCCGGGTGGGAGCCACCGTCACCTGTGAGGCTGAACAGTACCATCTACACGGGTCCCTCTGGCCACGGAGCAGGAGCAGCTTCTCTGTGTCACACGCTGGCGCACTGCACTACCTGAAGACGATTCCCAGTCACAGGCGGGCGGCAGCTCAGTGGAGACCGCGGCCACGGCAGCTGCGCTCGCGGGTGTGGGGAGCAGGGCCCGGAACACACGGCACCTGCCTGGACCACAGACCGCCACCACAGGACCGGGAGCGAGCCCATGTCCATCCACAGCTGAGTGGGCACACGTGTCCCCTCCCACAGGGGGAGCCCCCGCTCGGCAGGGGAGGGAGGGACAGCCTGACACCTGCCCCATTCAGGACAGACCTGGGGACGGGGCACCCCTGCAGAGAGCCAGTTGTAAGGGGACACAGGCTGCAGCATCCACCCAAGAGGTCCCTGGGGTCTCAGATCCACAGACAGGAAGCAGCAGGCAGGAGTCAGGCTGGGAGGGGCAGTGGCCAGTGCTGGAGGGGCAGAGCTCATGTGGGGAGGTGGAGAGTTCTGGAGGTGGTGGTGGGGTTGGCTGCACAGCCCTGTGACTGTGCTCCCCGGCTCTGAGCTCTGCATATAAATCTTGGATCCTGCATATTTTACCATAATAAAAAACCAGTTCCTACAAATTAGAAGGAAAAGGCTAAGAATTCAAGAGACAGACCCAGAATATGTGCAGCGAACACATGCAAAAGCATTTACCAGTCAGGCATGGTGGCTAGCCCTGTGATCACTGCAACTCAGGAGGCCGGGGCAGGAGGATCAAAAGTTTTCAAGGCCAGCCTCAGCAATTTAGTGAGACCCTGTCTCAAAATAAAACTGGAGGGGTGGCTCCCAGGTAGAGCACCTCTGGGTTCCACCTTCAGCACCAAAAATAAATGTAAACATCAGTATTGATTCATGATTGACTGAAATGATATCCTTTTGCTTCAAAATTCATCCAGATTAACAAAAGCTGTTGGGTTCCCTGCCTGCTAGGCGGGACATGGGCTGTCCCCTGCTGCCGGGCACCTCCAGAGGTGAGGGCTTCCTAGGAAGTGCGTGAGCACCCAGGAACAAATGCCTCCGGGAGTGGGCGATTCGTGACACTGACCTGCAGCCCAGTCAAGAGCAGCCGAGACCTATTCCACTGTGACTTACAGTCCTAGACGTGGGTATGTGCAGCCTTCAAAACGTAAAAGTCACCCTTTCAACTCAGGAGGCCGAGGCAGGAGGACCCCAAGTTCAAGGCCAGCCTCAGTAAGTTAGCAAGGCCCTGTCTCAAAACAACAAAAAGGGCTGGGGATGTGGCTCAGGGGTTAAGTGCCCCTGGGTGCAATCCCTGGTACCAAAACACATTTAAAAATAAAAGTTTAGTCCTCATGAGATCATGGCCGTCTAGTTCTAGAACAATCCATCCTCCTCAAAGGAGTCCCCTCTGTGGGGGGCCGTCATGCTGAATGACTAGCATTTCCTTCCCGTGATTGAAGGAGGCTCTGTCGGTCACTTTCGTAGTGACCTGGTCACTTTCGTAGTGGCCCAAGACGATGCCCAGATCCTCCAAGTAGCAGCACGTGTCTTCGTGTGCGGGCGTGGCCTCCCGCAGCCCGGGGGCGTGACTCGCGGCCCTGGTGACCTGCCCCTCTTGGCCAGGAGCCCCATCTAAGGTAAGCCGGTCTGTTTCCCTTGGTGTCCAGGAGATTCCCTCAAGTGACCTTTGGTTCAGCTGCCCGCGCTGCTCGAGGGCGGCACCCCTCCTCAGCCCTGTACCCACCAACGTGTCCTCCCTGGACTTGCCTGCCCTGACATGTCCTGCCGCTGGGTCACACCTGTGGCCGTGTGTCTGGCTCTCATGAGCACCAGGTCCTCAGGTCCCTCCACGCTGTAGCTGTCACCTCCAGCAGCGCCGCGTCTTGCCGGCTCCGACTCGGACCCTCCCGCCTCCTCTCAGGAGGACCCTGTGGTGACCCTGGGCCCTGATGACCAGGGCGGACTCATCTCGGCGTCCCTGACTTAATTCCACCCGTAGAGTCCCCTCTGTCCCATGAGGTGACATCCGCAGGTAGTGAGGGTGAGGGTGTCGGGGGCTGCTTCCCGTCAGCTGCAGCCTGGGTTCCCTAGGGGCAGGGCCGGCGGGAGGGTTGTGCTTTGTCCCTGGGTGAGTCTGGCTGGTCCACGTCTGGGGGTCCACCTGGACAGCAGAGTCGGGGGGAGGGCAGGTGTGGGAGGGCGTGGGGGAGTCACTGGCTTGGTGAGCCGCCGGCCTCACCTGGGGACTCATCCCACAGACTCCCCAAGATGGCATCCGGGGGCCAGGTGGGTGGGGACGAGGGGAGGACAGACGCCTGGCCCCCCAGCAGCAGGGGTCACCCTGCACTGCCCGGCATGTCTGCCGAGTGCAGGGCCAATGCCCAGGGGCAGGAGGTTGCGCCTGTGACCTGGTCCAGTCCCCGCCGGTGCCCCATGTCCTCCATTTTGCACAGCTAGACAGAAGCTCCACAGGAGGCAACGGGCCTCATCTAGTGGTGGCCGCTGGTCCACAGGCTCCACAGGAAATGAAATGCAGGGCCCTTCCCAAACCAGGAGCATCTCAGGACGATGACGGCACAGCCTGGGACGGCCGAGTGACTCACAGGTCACACGCCCACCAAAACCTCCTTCGGGCTTCGGGCAGCTTTGTGTAATCTCTCCCAGGACAACGGGGACATGTCACAGTGGACTGAAGCAGTTCACACACAGCGTCACAGATAAGGCACCTCAGAGTGGTCAGGGCTGGGCAGCAGGCCCAGGGCGGTGCCAGAGGCTGGTGTCTGGGGACAGAGCCGGGAGAGGAGAGTTCTGGACCCGGTGGGGAGGGCCGAGCGGCCTGTGGATAGAAGGGCACCTCGATGTTGTGCACAGTTCACCAGAAGGAAGCAGAGGCTCTCCCAAGGTCCACCGAGGGACCCACGCTCGGGCAGGGGAGCCCGGGACTGGGGTGCTCGGGGCCGGGGAGGGAGGCTGCAGCATCCTGGGACACCTCTCGCGCTGGCCGACCCCGGGGAGCTTTTCCGGGAGCCGCCCAGGTGTCAGCGGCAGGGACAGCAAGGAGAGGAGCGAGGAGGAGCCCCGCGCAGCCAGCGCCTGAGGAGGGGCGGCCACGGTCCCAGGCTGCCTGCAGCGCCATGCCCCGCACACTGCGAACGCCAGGGCAGACCAGCTCGGGCAGGGGAGGGGAGACTGCCCAGAGACTGCGCATCCCAGTCCAGCACTGTGGCTTGGGGTGACAAGACCTCAGCAGGTGGCATGAAGCACCCGAGGGAATCGTCCTGTGTCACACTGTGCCCCATGTCCTCGCAGGGCCCATGCAGGGGGAAGCAAGCACTCGGGGTCAGAGCAGGGGCCTGGAGCCAGGCCGGAGGGAGGCCCCGGGCAAGGAGGGCAGAGGGGCCTGACAGCTGGACAGACAGAAGAGGACTTCCCGGAAAAGGCAGGATGGTGGCCAAGGGTCTGTGGTCGCCAGGGCTGGGGAGGAGAAGGGAGAGGGTGAGCGGGAGGAGTGCAGAGGGCTCCTGAGCTCGCTGTCCCGGTGGACACGGGCCGGTATCCACGGGGCCGACTGACAAGGAGCAGCACGAGTGGGCCCTGACGGGAGCGTGGACGGGGCTTGTGCGCCACAGAATGGACAGCTGCCCCCGCAGGGCAGAGAAGGCCCGGCCTGACGAGGCCTGGGGGGTCCAGTGGCCTCCCTGACGGGGTCAGTCTGCACTCCGTGGGACCCGCCGCCTGTTTCCATCCCTCGGGGGAGCCTCCCTGTCCTCAGACCCTCCTGCGGCCAGTTCCCGTCCTCCTGGCCAGGGCAGGTGTGGCGTCTGGGCAGCCAAGGGGGCAGGCTGGGATCCAGAGGGATGCAAGAGAGATCCCTGGAGGGGCCCCAGGCAGCAGCGACACCCCACCACAGCGGGCCAGCGCCCTGTCACCGGGAGTCTCAGTGGAGAGGGTGACGCGAGGCCTCCGGAGCCAGCCTCCGTCGAGCCCTCCTTCTCCTCGGGATTTATCCCTCTGGGAAGAGCTCCAGACCCAGATTGAGAAAGGGCCCCTCTCTGCCAAGAGGCTGTCCCGCCTGCACGGAGGCCGGCCAGGGCGAGGCGGAGGCCGGGCCACCCACAGGTGTCCAGGGTCCTGATCCGCTCACTTCTCCCTTCCAGTCCTCGGCAACAGCCCTGCAGGCCACCCCAACGCCCAGGTCCAGTTCACCCAGCCTCAGAGATGAGGAACCCGACTGGGCAGCTGGGGGTTCTGCAGCCAGTGGGGGTGTCCTCTCCGAGGACAGGGACGCAATGGGCTTCAGGGAGGAAAGAGGAGTGTCCACCCCAGGCACCTGCACAGAAAGCCCTGCCTGCCCTTCCAGGTGGTCCCCGGCCCACCCCAAGAATCAGAGGAATGTGCGACCCCCACAACCCTTCCCCACCCCGAGCCGCAGGAGCCACCTCTGGTCTTCTAGGCCAGGTCCCAACGTTTCAGGGGTCAGAGTGGCGCTGTCCATGCGCAGCAGGTTGGCTGGGGGGGAGCCAAAGCCCCATCCCTCGGGTCAAGGGAATTTCCTGGCCACCTCTGGAGCCGCAGCTGGGAGCAGAGTGAGGGGGAGATGTCCCTCTTGCGGGTCTCCTTCCTGGCCACCCTGGGGGAACAGCTCTGGGAAGCTCCCTACTCCAGAAGACACCCGGACAGGGCCCACCGACTGT